TCCCATTAACTTGTTTTTGGGTTTTTTTGGTAAAAATGCTTTTTTTCCATGTGTATTTTATTGTAACTAGCATCAGGTTTTTTAATTTTTTTTTAATGGAGAGACACTGTTGAGTGACTATTGTGGCTATGTTGTTTGGTTATAGCCTTTGAATGTCTGTGCCATGGGGCAGCACATCTGCCTTGGTCTGATCTTAAAGAAAGACCTTTTATTAAAATACCTGAACATTTCTCTTTTTTTTAGGAAAAATAAAAAATAAAAAAAAAATTAAAGTGGGAGGGGAGGAGGAGGAAAAAGCCCAATTAAGAAAAAAAAATTTACTAAAAAGTTTTTTTTTTTTTGTAACTAACTTAAATCATAGGAAATAAACTCTTGAATCAGATCTTTAATATTTATAAGCAGCAGAGCTGATCAGCCTGTTTTTGGCTATGGTTTGTAACACTTTTTATGAGCGTGGGGGTTTCTCTGCTCCTCTGCCTCCCCAGGGGCTGCTCAGGGGTGATGCTGCCTTTTGCCAGCCCTCTTTTTCCAGATGTGTCCAGCAGCAGCTCTGTGATTCCAGCAGGGAATCCCTCCACGTGGAGCTTGTCCCCTGAGGGCAGCCTGGGCTGTCTCTGGGACAGTCACAGGGTGATGCAGGACTTGGGGGGGTTTAGGGCAAAGAGCTGTTTGCCCCCAGTTTCCCTGGGTTACAAGGAAAAATTCCAGGCCAGAGAAAATGTGTTTTTCCCTTTTGAGTAAAACAGTTTCTCTGTTTTAAAACTTATACTGAAGGACCAAAGAATTCAGAATTTCACCTGTTTTGTGGCCCTTTAATTTGAACTTTCCATTGCCACACTGCACTCATGGCAGAGCAGCCTGAAGGAATTAGCACTAGACCCTTCCCTTGCCCCCACCCCATCCTCTCTCAGCACTCTCTTTGCACAAGCACATCGACTTTCTCACTTTTCCCTGGTTCTTGAAGAAACACTTCCTAAATTTAGGTTTCTATCAATTTGTTTGCTGCTTTAAAAAAAAAAAAAAACAGGAGAGGAATATTGAAATGTGAATTTATTTTCTTAAGCATCAGATGGAAAAGAGAACTTCATCTTTGCATATTTTTAGAATGTTCTGGTGGGCCATTTAAAGACAATTTCTGAACCAAATGAGGTGGGAGCAGGGGGAAGGAGCAGCATTCCTGACCCACTCCAGCAGTTGTTGCTGCCTGCTCCGTGCAGGAAGGACAAACCATAATCACAGCACTGCAGTTGAGGCTTTAGAATCTGTGATCAGCTTTTGTATGGTGTAAAAAGAGCTGAAATAAACCTGGTGCTAATAAGTGCAGCCCCTGTCACGTACTGTCAGGCTTCCTTCTGAAGCAGGAACTCCCTTTCCAGGACACACAGTAACACAGCAGAGCTGAGGGGGCTTCACAACAAAAGTGGGGTCCACAGGGTTCCTTGGGGAGCAGCCCATGGCTGGCTCCTGCCTCCTTTCACAGACTCCTGAGTGGATAATGACATTTTCCTCCCCAAATTTTTGGGAGCTTCAGAAGAGCTGACCTTGGTGATTAATTGGGCAGGTCGGACACTTCTGAGTTGAGAGCTGGGGGAAGGAGTTGTGGCTGTGTTGTGAAACCACAGCATCCTAAAGGTCAATAAACTTTTACATTATTATGGAAAACCAACCTAGAAGGAGCTGGCTTGGGACAACACTAGCCTGGGTAGATCCAGAGCAACAAGCAGGGTCAGAGCTGTAGGTGAGAGCCAGGAGGTGAAGGATTTTAGGCTGCCAGGACCACTTTGAGCTCCTCTCTGGCCTTAGGTGCCGTAGCCACGTGCCTGCAGTGGCACAGGAGGGACCCAGGAAAGGTCTCAGAGCTGGAGCACATTTCCTAAAGCCGATCCCACCCCTGGGGGTCCCTGCAGCTGATCCCCTGCTGAAGGGTTTTACACTTTTGTACATCTCTGAAGCTGAACCTGAGCCACTGGCAAGGCTTGTGCAGCTGAGACAATGAAGAGAATTCCTTACCCTGGGAGGAAGCCCTTAACACTGAATGGACTCAGTCACCCCTTGCTGTTCCCCCAGCCTCTGAACCTCCTCTCTTCCTCCTTTTCCCTTATCTGAGAAGGAAGAATATTACCAGTGTTTTCCTCCAGAATTATTATAATCCTTGGAGTGATGGCCAACAGCAAAATAGATGTTACTGATGTAAAACCTAGTATTTTAAAGGTGAAGTATTCCTGCGAAGTAGTGACTGCATTGGAGAGATTTCTGGGGCTTCCCCACTCTGTAGCTTCCAATGTTAAAACAAAATAAATACAGTATACATTTTAAAAAAATAATAATAATACACACTGCAGTATTTCTGGTGGCAATTCTTGCCCAGTCCCTTCCCTGCTTTCCCCAGGAGGAAGGGCACTGGGCAGAGGCGCCCCTAGTCCGTGTAGAAGTTGGCAGAATGGTGATCAGTGGTGTAAAACGTGTTGTTGATTCCATGTATAGAACTGTGATTTCAGCTGTCGTTCTCTCGTACTCTGTAAATATGTGTTTTGGCTGTCGGAAACCTGGTTTAGACTCTTTTCTTGGCAGAGTGAATTTGCATGTGGGGCTGGAAAGAACTCAATCTGTGTCACAGTTTCCAAGGGCAGGATGGATTTTTTTTTTTTTTTAGACGACAATAAATTTTTATTTTTTTGCTAAGAAAAAAAAATACAAACTGAAGCGGTGTGTGCGTGTGTGTGTGTGCCTGGGTGGATGTGCAGCCCTGGGCTCTGCTCTGGGCCTTGGGAGGGTGGAGAAATCTGGGATTTGGAGCCCTCAGAACAACAGATCCGGGGCCAATTTTCACACAACCAAGAATAATTTCTCTCTGAGCTCCCTTCCCTTTTCAGGGTGTTGAAATTCACTTTCCTGGTGGAGGTGTGGTGAAAGAGGGGGAACATCGATGCAATGTGGTTAAGGTGGGGCAGAGACCTCTTTGGAAGTGGCAAATCCAAACATTTCTCACCCACATTCTTGGTCTGGACATGGATTTATGTCCTGGAAGAGCCAGGCTGGACAGAGGTGAGCTGTGCCTGCACAGTGGATGCAGTGTTTTGTGTTTTGGCACCCAGAAGAACACACCTGGCCTGTGGATCCAAGAATTACCTGTTAATTAATTTGGTCTAATTGATGCATCAAAGATGCATCAACCACTTCCCATTAGTCCAACCACAACAATAATCTGAATGGGCCCATTTGTATTGCAGATTATTGGTAGCACAATAAAATCAGTAGATCTAAGTGCCAGCCCCTTCCCTCTTGTGTTCTGGCCGTCTGCCTGTGTGAGGTTCTTCACCAGGATCAGGAGGATGATGATGGAGACTTCTTCCTCTTTGTCATGCTTGCATTTGCTAGGAGCTGGTTTTGTGTGCTTCAAGCTTTATTTTTTAATGTTTGGGCTGTTTTCCTGCTCCATGGGGTTAGTTGTGCTCTGACTGATTAAGGTTTATTAGTCTTTCTCTAAAAGATGGGATTTCTTTTGGGGTGGGAGAAGACCCACACCACTGCCTGTAGCTGAGCAAAAATTCAGCTAAAACACCTTGAATAATAGTTAATAGCTTGTTGTGCAAACAGCCTCAGAAGAGAGGTCAGCCTGTGCCACCTGCTCCCTGCGACACACCTGGCTGCTGGCAGCCCAGGGCAAGGTGGGACACAGTGATTTTTTAAGTAATATCCAAAAATTAGTTCAAACCTCCAGCCTCGTGGAGTAAACCTCATAATAAAGCACGAGGTGGCTGCCAGCAGGTGCCAGCCCCAGATGAGCCACAGGGTGCTGGACCCAGCTGAATGACACCCCAGACAGCATCCCCACAATCCCAGACCCAGCTCTGGAATTTTATTTCTCTGCACTAAAACCTAAGCCAGCAAATGGCTTCCTTGGGAGCCCGCAGTGCCTTAATCCCTCCTGCTGTGGGCTCTGTCACACAGCTACCAAAGGAGCTTTTTCCTTTTCCCACCCCCACATCCAGGATTTGACCTGAGCTGACCCAGAGGCTGCTCTGCCCACCAGGGAGCAGCTGGTGCTCAGGCACCCGGGAGGGGAGGGGGCTGCTTTTAATTCCCTGTGCCTGGCAGCTCCCAGGGACCTGCTGCAGCTCAAACACGGCCACCTCCATGCAGAGTGAGCTCCAGGTGTAGAATTAGTAATAATTGCAGGGAAAACAAGCTCCAAAAAACCCAGCAAATTGTTAAAACCACCTGCCTTGTCTGGCATTTTTACTGTCATACTGGGTCACCCCACATGGATGCACCCTGCAGAGTTTCCCACCACTTGCAGAGGGACCCAGGTTTCTGGCACAGGCTGGGAGTGATGCCAGGGACCTGCACCCCATGCCTGGGCTGTCAGCTGCCCAAAATGCCTCCTGGTTTGGCTGCCAGGCCTGAGATGCTCTTTATTGCCAGCAAGATCCCAGGCTGCCAGGAGGTCAGTGAAATTGGTGGTAAAATTTAAAAAAAAAAAAAAAAAAAAAAAGAGACACAAGAGCCATACACATTTTTAAAAAGGAGAAATTCAGCAGCTCCCACCAGACCTCAAATGCCTTGTCCCACCCCACTGTGCTGCTGCCCCAAAGCACACAGCCCACGCACCAGCTTTGTGGCTTTTCATTTAAAATAAGAGGCTTATCCACAGGAGAATGAGGGGAAAAAGAAATTAAAAAATTTAAAGAAAAACCAAAACTGAAGGCAGGTTTGGCCATGGCTGTCCCCAGCCTGAATCAGTCGTGTTGCAGACAGGAGGGCTGGGGACACGGCCAGGAGATGCAGCACTGGCAGTGACAAACTCCAGAGGGACAGACAGGGACAGCCACACTTCCACATCCCTCGTGTAGTGTTACTAGTCCAGGCAGGCAGGCAAAGAAATCCCCTCCAGTGCACCTGCCCACCCTCCCTGGCTCATGGAGCGCTGCTGCCCGAAGGTGGGGCTGAGCTGGGTGCTGGGAGCTGCTGGGCAGGCACAGGGACCCCTCTGTCCCCACACTCCCTGCAGATGCTTCTGGCTCCAACACCACCAAAGTTCCCCTTTCAGGGCCATCTTCCTGCCCCTCCTTCACTCTGTCTCCTTGGACTGCTTGGCTCGTTGCTTGCGGAGCTTGACGAAGGCCTGAGCTTCTTTGTCCCTTTTCCTGGACTCCAGCAGCTGCAGGATCTCATCTGCCAGAGGAGAGGGCAGTGATGGTGGGAGACGCTCCCCACAGCCCCCTCCCCGCTCTGCAGGGGCTGTGGCACCACATACCCGAGGGCTTGGGGTGCGTGAGGGGCAGCCGGGTCTGGGGCACCCGTCCCGTGTCAGCCTCGTCCTCCTCGCTGTCGAGGCCGGGCAGGCGGCACAGGGGGAAGAAGGCTTCGCCCTCCAGGTCGTTGGAGCCCAGCACGTCGTAGTCAAACACGGTCAGCAGCAGACAGGCCCCTTCCTGCCGGCACTTCTCAGGGGGGATCAAGCTGCAGGGCCGTGGGAGGCAGAGGATCATCACAGCACATCCCATCCCATTCCCTCAGGCCCTTCTGTGCTCCACGGGCAGCCACAGCCCCACAGTGACCCAAACCCCTCTGAGCCCAGGGCCCCAGCACATCCCGCATTGACGCAAACCCCTCAGGGTCCAGGGCACCAGCACAGCCCCACAGCGACCCAAACCCCTCAGAGCCCCAGCACAGCCCCACACTGACCCAAACTCCTCTGAGCCCCAGCACAGCCCCACAGCGACCCAAACCCCTCAGAGCCCCAGCACAGCCCCATAGTGACCCAAACCCCTCTGAGCCCAGGGCCCCAGCACAGCCCTGCACTGACCCAAACCCCTCTGAGCCCAGGGCCCCAGCACAGCCCCGCACTGACCCAAACCCTTTAGAGCCCCGGCACAGCCCCACACTGACCCAAACCCCTCTGAGCCCCAGCACAGCCCCATAGTGACCCAAACCCCTCAGGGCCCCAGCACAGCCCCGCACTGACCCAAACCCCTCTGAGCCCCAGCACAGCCCCATAGTGACCCAAACCCCTCAGGGCCCCAGCACAGCCCCGCATCCTCCCCGGTGTGTGGGGACCCCCCTGCACATGGCAGCTCCTGGAGCAGCAGCCCCATGGCAGAGGCTCCCTGAGGAGAGCCTGAGGGGGGCCTGAGGGGGGCTACTTCTCCTGAGGGGCTGTGGGGATGGGGGCCCGGTGGGTGTCAGCCCCTACATACAAGTCGAAGGCCTCGTCGAAGAGCGGGTGCAGCTCGTTCCTCTTGCACTGGGTGGTCCGAGCCACCACCTCGGGGAACTCGTGCCGGGGCTCCAGGGTGAGCTGCACGAAGGGGTCGCTGGAGCCTGGTGGGGTGCAGACATCAGCCCCCTCCCCTGGCCCCTCTGCCCCGGCATGAACCCAGCCGGGGGTCTTGGACACACTGGGGGGGCGCGGGGGGCTCAGGGCAGACTCAACCCGATCCCCAGCCCAGCCCGGGGTCCTGGAGGGTGCGGGAGCATCCCCGAGCCCGCCCGCACAGCGACCGGCCGGGCTGGCTGCAGGAGCAGTGACATCTCCTGGAGAGCTCCCCGAACGACAGCCGGACCCGGAGAAGGTCGCTGCTCGCCCCGGAGTATTTTTTTATCTGCGACTGCTTTGCATGAGGAAGAAAAGCTGCCTGCCCTGGCTGCGGGCTTGTGCCACAAGCAGTGAGACGTGGGCACTGTGTCCTGCATAGTCCTGCCTGCCACATCCCACTGAACCAACCAGAACCAGCGCTATAACCCCCCTTTTCCCCCAAATCCACCTCCTTGCATAAAAAAGCAAATCAAGACAGAGTCCAAGCATTGCCAGCATCTCTCCTGACTGGAGCGTACCAGGGACCAAGGACAGGGGACCCTGGGGCTGCCCTGCCCACCCACACCCACCGTTGGAGTCCAGCGGGATGAGGTTGGTGGCGTTGAGCACTTCCACGTGGAGTTTCTGCTCCGAAGGCCGGTACAGAGCTTTGATGGTCACGGCCCCGTACTTCTCTGAGCTCGTGTCCAGCTGGGCAGTTGGGCACAAGGATAAGGATGCTGTCCTTCATCCCCGTCATGGAGGGGATGCACAGGGTCGGGCAGAGGAATTTTGGGGAATCCTCTGGGATGCATTGAGCCCTCTCCTGCTCAACGCTGTGGCAAAACAGCCCCAGGACTGGGAGGGTGGTGGGGAAATTCCGCATTTCCACAGGCAGGGCCTGTGAGCAAGGGTAGGACGTGGGAAGGGGCTGGGAGCAGCATCTGGAGTCCTACCTGCTGCTGGATCCTGTTGCTGAAGTATTTCTGGATGAGTTTGCGGCTGCTGGTGGAGCACAGAGCCAGGTGAGCCTCCAGCGTCTGTGGGGAGGGGCAGAGGGGATGGTCAAGCACATGGACAGGTCCACAGCCTGGGGATGTCCTCCCTGGTATCCCTTCCTCCCACAGGAACCCACAGGGACCCCCCCCCCCCCATCCCCATCTCCATACCCTGAAGGCTGCACTGTGGAGGGTCTCCAGTGGCAGCCCGCAGCCCTCGGCGTGGAAGCACCGCTCCAGGCTCTGGGGACAAGGATGCTGTCAGCCACCAACCAAACCCCTGTCCTTGGCAGGGACCCCCCGCCTCCCCTTGGTACCTTCAGGGCACAGAACAGCCTCTGGCAGTGCTGGACCGAGGGCACCTGCGGCCCCCGAGCTGCTGAGAGCACGGACAGGGTGTGGTGCCACAGGAGAGTGAGGAGGCTGCAGGGGAGAGGGAGGCTGTGAGCAGGATCCAGGGGCTGGGCTGCAGGGATGGCCTTCAGCTGAAGGGCTCTGCCAAGCCCCAGAAGGAAGGGCCTCATCCTGCCAGCCCTGAAGTGGGATGGCCCCAAGCCCCATGGAGCTGAGGAGATGCTCCTGCCCAAGGGATGGTGACTCTGGTGGCCTCTGCCACAGCGCATCCCAAGTGCCCTGGTCACCTTTTGAAGTTCTCCTGGACCAGATGCTCATTGAGGTACTGCAGCTCCGACTCCAGGAACTTCATGAGTGGGATGATGGACTGCAGAGAGAGGAGAGGGCATTGGGGAGGGAAGGAAGGGTATCCAGCAGGGCACAGCAGGCCAGGGAGGATCCCAGAGAGGCTCCTTCCCACACAGGCAGGCTGTGCCTGGTGTGGTCCTGCCGCTGACATGGGCACCAAGCAAAGGCTGTGGAGCTCTGGGCCCCATCACTGGTGTGTCCTGTGCCCCAGGCACAGGGAGCAGGGATGGACAGAGACAGAGGCACCCACCAAGCAAGCAAAGGCTATCCATGGCTGCCCAAAATGGTGGTCCAGGAGGGGCTGGACCAGATACTTACATCCTCAGGCTTCTGGGTGTCACTGGAAGATGAAAGCTCCTGGATGTGTCTGGCAATGCCCTTTTCCAGCTGCCAAGGAGAAACGCAGGAAGAGACTTGGACTTTGTTCTCTGCAGCAGCCTCCCCATGCCTAGCTCCACCTTATCTCCATCCCAGGAGCATTATGGGCTTCAGGACACCTTGGGTGAAACTGCTCTGGGCCAGGTGAGGGCCAAGGGGGCATCAGAGGCAGGTGGTCACCTTGGTAGCCAGGGCTTGCACCACGTCCCGGACCTCGTGGTCCAGGCAGGCCACGGTGCTGTCGAGCTGGTTGTGCAGAGCGTTCTGGATCTGCTGGGGCTCGATGATGCCCCTGGTGCGCTGCTCCAGCTGGGCCCAGGCCAGCTGGGATGGCAGCTTCAGCATCTGCAGCCGCAGCTGCTCGATGTTGTTCACCACGATGCAGAGCTGGGGGAGGTGGGTCTGCTTCAGGGTCCACACCCCCTGGAGCATCCCACATCCCCATCCCCGAGGCAATGTCCATCATTTTTCCCATTCCCATCCCACATCCCCGTTCCCATCTCCATCCTCATCCCTAGTCTCATCTCCATCACCATCTCCATTCTCATTTTCATCCTCACCTGTGTCCCCATCCCCATCCTGCTCCCCCTGCTCACATAATTTCCTTCCTGGTTTTCCAGGATTATGGCTTTTGGTGGCCAACTGTGGAACCCAAACTGGGGATGTCAGCTGGGTTCTCAGCAGCTCAGCTCCCTCTTTGTCCAGACACCAGGGCCAAATCCTGCCCTTCCTGGAGCAACCAGGATAGGTTCAATACCAACCTTGTTGGCCGCCTCGCCCTCGTTCTGCTCACTCAGGGACAGAGCCTCAGCCCTCTCCTTGATGAGCTTGCAGTACATCAGGGAGATCTTGCACATGTCCTGCAGGGCAGAGAGGAAACCAGCAGGAGTGAAATAGGCAACAGGAGGATCACTGTGGGCTCAGGGAGTCCCATCACCGGGGGTACTGGCTCCTTCAAGGAGACACATCCCCAAGAGCAGGAGGAGGAAACTCCAGGTGCTGGTGCCCAGCTGCACAAACCTCCAGGAGGTTGACCATGATCATGAAGGCTTTCTCAGGGTCTGGCCAGTTGAGCTGCTGCCAGGTTGTCACGATCTGGGCGTAGCAGGTGGACAGGTCAACAGTGGATGTGCTGTGCTTGTGGTACCCGTAAGGCTTCAGCTGAGGGGCAGAGAAGGCACACACAGCTTGAAAAGGGAGATGCCATCCCAGAGAGCAGAGCTGCTCCTTCACTTTAAGGCTCTCTGGTTCATCATCAGCTCCTTATACCCCAATATATCATCACACAACCAACCACTTTGGAGAGTGGAGGAGATGAGGATGGATGGAGCAGCACAGACAGCACCCTGCTTCCCTCCATACACCCTCCCAGTGCTGCTGGACCCCACTAAGAGCAGCCATGGCTGCCTTCCCTCCCCTCTCCAGAGAGGCTGGAAGCAAAGGGGATTCTCACAGCAAGATCACAAGGGCTGCCAGGGAGCAGTGAGGGAAGGGACACAGGGACATGGTGTGGGGCCAGGCTGGGTGGGATCAGCTGGCCCAGGGGACCACGTACTTTGTTATTTGGCAGAGGAAGCAGGCTGCTCCTGGGCTGCCAGAGGCACCTGTGGCGGTGCCAGTGCTGTGAGCCAGGCCCAGCAGCAGGGCATGGAGGGCAGCTGCAGTGTCCCCAAAGGGAGGAGGGAGATTTCTCCTCCCCACATTACCTGGTCCATCTGGATGGCTCTCTGGGCCCTCTCCAGCGTGGTGGTGTAGGCCTTCTGCAGCCACAGGGGCAACGCTTCCTCAAACCACTGGTGGAAGTTGCTCAGAGCCAGAGGTCCATCCCTGTGGAGGAAGGCATCCCTGTGGAGGTTCTCCAACCACACAGCAGTGGCACAGGACTGTCACCCCTCCTGCTCTCACACCAACCCCAGCCAGGGATCAGCCCCAAACCCTCTGCTGATGCTCCCATTGACACCAGGCACCAACAGCCTGCTCTGCCTGCTGTGCAGTTAGTGATGAAGGATCTGGAGATCCTCTCAGCTGACTGCTGGATGCCTCCCTCTGGCACCTTTCCCCTCTGAGGTTGGATACCTGCTTGGGAGGGAGTCCTTCATCTGATAGAGCTCCTGCAGTTTCCTGTAGAGATCAAAGAGGCTCTCGGCCGTGGGTTTGGACATGCTGCTGTCCACCTTGTGCAGCTGCTCCTGGACATGCTCTGCCACCTGGAGGGGAGCAAGGCCAGGGAGGACACAGTGAGGCCCAGCCAGGAAGGCTCCTTCAGGAGTGAGGGTCAGCTCAGGGCACTCCTCTTCCCTTTGGGTGGCATTTCAGGAGATTTGTCGGGTCAAACACTCCCCATAGTCACTCTATGGGCACACAGGGGGAGTTTCTCTTGCTCCCCTTCCAAGCTTGCAACAAGGAGTTGCCACCTGAAAGGTGGCCAAAAACCTCAGCCTGGCTTTAGACTTTAGTCTCCTGAGGGCAGAACAGTCCAGGCTTGCTCACCAGGCTCTCCAGCTCCAGGTAGGCAATGGAGAAGATATTCAACTTCAGGTTGCTGCAAGAGAGAAAGTGGATTCAGGAGCCTGCCAGCCCCAGGCCAGCAAACCCTGCCAGGCCATGTCCTGGGTGAGGCCAGCACAGCCCTAAGGGGCAGAGGTGGGACCAAAGACCCCACCTGTGGAGCCCAAGGGCCAAGGAATGAGGCACCAAAGGGCCCTGGCACTCTTGATCCCAGGGAAGGTGGGAGGGGGTGAGATCAAGCACTGAAACCTACGTGCTGAACAATTTATTCCAGATCTTTTGGCACTGCTTGAGATCTTCTATCACCTCCAGGAGGAGCATGGACAAGGCTTTGCTATTCTCCTCTATGCTCTGCAAAGGGAAGAACAGCTTGTTTTGGATGCTCAGACATTCTGAGGTGACTTTATTATGTTGGAGGGACAGAGATGGGAACTGACCTTCACCATGGGCTTGAGGTGCTGCTTCTGCATGTGGAACCACTCCGTGGTGCCTGACTGCAAGAGAGGAGTCCTGGTGGGATGGCAGGGAAGCAGGAGGAGCAAAGCCAACTCTGTCACCCCCTTCACTCTCCCTGTCCCCTGGGTGAGGAGAGAACCTGTGGCTGGAGCCACCAGGTTGCAGGGGCAGGTATTTCCCATGCCATGGTGATCCATGTGGATTTGCTGAGGTGTGGGCATTGGGCAGGGGGTGGAAGGAAAGGGAGACCCACAGGGTCCCACCCTGCAGGGGTTGGGGTGGGTGAGACCCCAGTACCTTCAGAGCTGTGGAGACCATCTGGGGGAGGTCAGGGCTGGGTGTGCACAGCTCATGGAAAGCTTTGGTTTTGCACATCTGGACAAGGACCCTGCAAAGTGAGAGCCTGGAGTGAAGCCCAGCCCCTGCCATCAGAAACAAGCACCTCTCCCCTCACAGACCCTGCCCAAAGAGCCTTCCCCTCCCAGCAACGTCCCCACGGGGAGCCCAGGACGAGAGAAGGCACAGGACAAGCGTCACAGCAGCCTAGACAGGGCTCACACTGAGTTTTGCCAAGCTCAGGGGTTTGTCCTGAGCCACAGGACCCCACGTGCAGCTGGCAGCAGTGACCCACTCACCGCAGCAGGGACTGGAGCCTCTCCGTGGACCTCGGGACAGAGAGGGGGAAAATGATGCGGAACCTACGGATGAGGGAGACCCCGTAGGTCAGCAGGGACTGGAAGGACTCGGCCAGCTCTGCCTTCTGGAAAGAAAGGAAACATGCACGGTCCTCCTCAGTCACAGGCAGGTGCTGGCAGGAGCACAGAGGAGGGAGCTGCTGCTCCCATTCCTTCCCAGCCTCCTCCAGGGATGGGAAAAAAAATCCCTGATGTCTCTGGTAGCTTCTCCCTGGAGAAGCTGAACTAAGCTTTGTGCTTAAACCTCATTGCTATGCATGGAAAATGCGGTGTCTCAGCAGGGTGCAGGGATGCTCTGGGAAAACAGGCTGGGAGCAGCAGAAATTGGGTCATATTTAAGTTTTGTTGTGATTGACCTGATGGCAGGGATGGGGGAGGGGGATGTCAGTGCAAAGGGTAAGGGGCTCTCCACAGAGAGGGGGAACAAACCACTGGGAAATGCCCTGCAGACAGCCTGGCACCCCTGTACCCCACAGCCTCCTGCCCCAGGGGCTCTGGCAGGAGAGGCTCAGGGTTGGGTGCCTGGGTTCCTTTAGGGGTTCCTGGCAGGAGAGGCTCAGAGCTGGGTGTCTGGGGTACCTTTAGGGGTTCTTGGCAGGAGAGGCTCAGGACTGGGTACTTTTAGGGGCACTTTTAGGGGTTCCTGGGAGGGGAGGCTCAGGGTTGGGTCCTGGGGCACTTTTAGGGGTTCCTGGGAGGAGAGGCTCAGGCCTGGGTGCCTGATCTCCCTGATCCCTGCCCTCACCTGCTCTGGCCTCAGGCGCTCCTGCACCCAGCGGTACTCGATGCTGGTGATCTGGTGGAGCAGGCAGCTGCTGTTGAACTCCAGGCTCTGGTAGAGTTTGCTGTAGGCCAGCCACTGCCTGGGGAGGAGGGAGGGCTGGGCTGAGCTCCCAGGGCTGGGGGACACCCAGGAGCCAGCCACAGTCGCAGCTGGGGGCACAGGGGGCACCCAGGGAGCAACACCTGAGCTCAGGGGACAGAGCAGCTGTGGGGAGAGGGTCCCAGCAAGGCCCCAGGTGCTGCCCTGGGTGTGGGGTACTCACGCCATGTCCTGGTGGAAGTCAGAGAGGTCCTTCTGTGTGGCGTGCAGGTACAGCACGGTGCTGGCGTGGCTGCTCAGCTCCCCATCCCAGGAGGTGCTGCCAGCCTGCAGGAGGGAAAGGGGGAGGAATGTGTCCTGGAGCAAGACAGGATGAGCAGGACAGGCACCATGGGGGGTGTCACAGACATATTTTATGAAAAATCCTTTCCTTAGGATTTTTTTCTCCTGAGAAGCTGAGAGGCCTCAGGAACAAAATGTACACATTGATTATCTGCTGCTGTGGAATGCAACAGGTGGATCTGTGATTGGTCTCATGTGGTTGTTTCTAATTAATGGCCAATCACAGTCAGCTGGCTCAGACTCGCTGTCCAAGACCAAAGCCTTTGTTATCATTCTTCTTTTTCTATTTTTAGCCAGCCTTCTGATGAAATCCTTTCTTCTATTCTTTTAGTACAGTTTTAATATAATATATATCATAAAATAATAAATCAAGTCTTCTGAAACATGGAGTCAGATCCTTGTCTATTCCCTCTTCCTTGGACCCCTGGGAACACCATCATTTGCAGGAGTGGGAGCCCCAGAAAGGTGCCAGGCATCCTCCTGACCCTCATTCCCATCACACAGTGAGTTGGGGTGTGGGCTGCAAAGGAAGGCCTCCCCAGCCCAGCTGCTTCTGCTGCTGGTGGCAGCCCTGGTGGTACCTGGTGCTGCAGGATCTCGTGGGACACCAGCTGCTGCAGGAGGTGGCGGTGCACGGTGTAGCTCGGCTGTGTCCGGCTGCTCGTGGTGGCCCTCTGCAAAGAGACCAGGCAGAGAGAACCATCACCTGCCTGGACACACAGGGACACTGCCACGGCGGGGACACAGGGCCCAAAAGGCAGGGCTGGAGAGCCAAGGGCTGTGGGTGCACCAGGAGCAGGGTCCCGGTGCTGGCACTGAGCTCAGGGCAGGGTCCAGCACCTGCACACCCTGTGCTGGCACCTGGGGCCCCCAGACAAGCCCAGGGGACAGGCAGCTGTCCCAAGGCAATGGGAAGGACCTTTCCACATCCCATCCCACCTTCTTGTGTGTCAGCAGGAACTGCAGGTGACAGTGTCCCCGCTCGGGATAGGTCTCTGTCCGTGGCTCCAGCTGGTACCACTGGTCATCCCAGCAGTGCAGGTCCTGCAGGCACAGAGGGACAAGGGGGAAGCCCTGGGCAGCCTTCCCAGGAGAAGGAACTCATTCAGAGACCAGGGGATCTTCATCCCACTGCATTCATGGGGCAGGAAGATTCAGCATTGGATTTAAAACACAGGACGTGCAGTGACTGAGGGTGTTGGAATCACACCACGGCACAGGGAGAGCCTGTGGCTCTGACAGGGATCCTGGATGTGCCACAGGGCGCTGCCACAGGGCTGGGATCCTGCCTGGGTCCTGCGTGGATCCTGCGTGGATCCTGCGTGGATCCTGTGTGGATCCTGCGTGGATCCTGCGTGGATCCTGTGTGGATCCTGCGTGGATCCTGCGTGGGTCCTGCGTGGATCCTGCGTGGATCCTGTGTGGATCCTGTGTGGATCCTGCCTGGGTCCTGCGTGGATCCTGCGTGGATCCTGTGTGGATCCTGTGTGGATCCTGTGTGGATCCTGTGTGGGTCCTGCGTGGATCCTGCGTGGATCCTGTGTGGGTCCTGCGTGGATCCTGTGTGGATCCTGTGTGGATCCTGTGTGGATCCTGCGTGGATCCTGTGTGGGTCCTGCCTGGGTCCTGTGTGGATCCTGTGTGGATCCTACCTGGGTCCTGTGTGGATCCTGCCTGGGTCCAGTGTGGATCCTGCGTGGATCCTGTGTGGATCCTGTGTGGATCCTGTGTGGATCCTGCGTGGATCCTGTGTGGATCCTGTGTGGATCCTGTGTGGGTCCTGCGTGGATCCTGCCCGGACCCCGCGAGGTTTCACCGGGGAAAGTCCTGGGCAGTCCCTCGGAGGAGGGGAGGCAGGCAGGGCTCACCTTCAGGCGAACCACCACGTTCCCCAGGAAATCGTCCTGCCCTTTGTCTTTGCGAGCATCTTTAAAGATCCTGGAAGGCACAAAGAGCCGAGGGGGTGGGAAGGTGCCTGCAGCCATGCCCCCGGCCGTGCGACACAGACCTGCTGCCCCTCTCCCTCCTCCCAAGGGCGATTTATAAAACTCAGCAGGCAGATCAGCCTTTTCCACCCCTCTTTCCTCAGCAGCCCTGGGGCCACACCAGCACCAACCTCTTGAGGCCGTGCAGGTCCGTGAGCTCCCCCAGCTTGTGCCGCATCGACTCCACCACGTCCGAGTCCCTGCGAGGATGGAAAAACAGAGCAGGGAATTGCAGTGACGGTGGAGAGGGAAAGCACAGGAGCAGGGAGGTGTCAGGGTTGAGGCCACCCCCAAACCCAGCCCAAATTTGCGAGCACGTGGGTCTCCATAAATTAAAACAGGGTTTAGGAGCAGCCCTGCCTGGGCACCGCCAGCCTGGCTTTCCCTGCTGGCACAGGTCACATCCTGCACTGAGCATTGCTCCACGGAGAGTGATGGCAAAGGGGTTCCCATCACTTCAGGGCCTTTAAAGAAGTGGCAGATTGAATCCCCAGGAGGCAGCACCCCTCGGGCGGGTCCTGGGCTCACGGGGATGCTGTCACTCACCACATGTCCAGGTGGAAGCTGGCTGTCTCCACATCTTTGAACTCCCTGCAAGGCACCAGGGGATGCTGTCATTCCAGTAACACAGGAATGGTGAGCCCCCATCCCCAGCCAAGAGCCCTGGCCATGCCCTGCATCCCCCAGAGAGCAGAGCCAAGGGGTGGGGGTGGATTACAGGATGAAGGTCTCGTTCCACACTGGGCTGAGGGTCTGGTTTATGACTTGGGTGCGATGGATTTGGTCCTCAGGGATGAGGTCTTTGACCACAGCCTTCATCCTCTTCTTGTGGTCGGGGTGGGCTGGCTCCTGGCTCCTGGTGTCGATGCCCAGCAGGCAGTATGGGTCACTGAGCCCTGCAGGGACACAGCTCTGGGGATTCCCTCGGCAGCAGCAGCTGCCCCTCTCCCCACGGGACACCCCCCTCCACTTACCACTGACATCTTTACCCAAAATTCCCTTGGCTTCCTTCACAGTGGCTTTCAGGCAGTAAATGGGGCTCTGGAAAAAATGAATAAACAGACATTGATGTGAGGGGTCTGTCATTACAGACAGACATGAGACAGGAGACATCTTTTCATTAAAATCCTTTTGTTAGGATTTTTCCTGCTGAAGCTGAGAAGTTTCAGCAACAAAATGCAAACAATGTTTATCTGCTGCTGTGGAATGCAACAGGTGGACCCGTGATTGGTCTCCTGTGGATGTTTGGATTTACTGACCACTCAGGGCAGAGCTGGCTCTTGCTTTCTGCCGGGACACAGATCTTTGTTATTGATTCCTTTTCTATTCTTAGCTTAGCTAGCTTCTGAGAACTTTCTCTCTATTCTTTTTAGTATAGTCATAATGTAATATATATATATCATAAAATAATAAATCAAGCCTTCTGAACATGAGGTCAACATTCTGGCCTCTCTCTTCATCCTGCAACCCTTGCAAGCCCTGTGACAGGGGTCACCAACCCTGAAAGGAAGGATCAACCCTGCATGGAAGGATGGGGCTGGAGCAGGACCCTGCCATCAGCTCCCACCCAAGCAGTGACAACCCCAGGGCAGCCCAAATCCCCACCCCAGGGGCTCAGGGGCACTGCAGCTCCCCAGCAGCCCCCTACTGCACCCTGGGGACACTGTACCTCCAGCTCCATGACCTGCTGCATGATGACTCCGTGCTCCTCTGCGTCCATGCCAAAAGCCTGTGTGGATATTGGGGCTGGTGATGGATGCTGCCCTGTTAACAGGGGCTGGAGAGCAGCCAGGGGCTTCCCTCTGCTCCCTGGGAGCCAGCAGCAGCCCAAGGGGAGAGGAGAGTGGCTGAGTCCAGCAGGAAGGCTGGGGACCAGCTGAAAGCTCTTGAGGGAGAGCCTTCTTCCCACCATCCCCAGCCTAAGATAAACACTTCTCCCCAGGGCTAATATTTCCCAGCCACAGGATGCTCCCAGCCCTCCAGCTGCATGCTGCTGCTACATCTCTCATGGTGCTTGTTAAAAGCTCCGAGTGACCCTCATGATTATTGGCTCCAAACAACCAGAGAGAAATTGTGTGTGGTGGGGGTCAGGGCAAGTTCTGCAAGGTGGGATGGGGCACTTCCACATCCTGGCCCAGCCCAAGCCCCTGGCACAGGGAAAGCCCAACCTCATTCAAAGCCCAACCTGGGTCTGCGGGCAGATAAAACCAGCACTGGGAGATAAAAGAAACAGTGGGAAGGATTCCACTGATTGATGAATGGAAAAAGATATTTGCTTTCACAAGTAAACTTCAGGTTTGTTGATAAACAAAATTAGACATTGAGAGATGAAAGAAACAATGGGGAAGAAAAACCCCTAAATTCTGTAAGAATTAGAAATGAAAAGGGAGGGTTGTACATTAATATTCTCATGTTGAGGGTTGTACATTAACATTCTCAAGTTTGCAAGTAGAAGTTTGCTATTCAGCCTCCTGAGAATGCTGTGATCTCCTGTGAACCACCAGAGTAAATCAAAGTGAGTGTTTAAAGAGGGAGCTTGGGGCATAACAGACCCCTACCAGCCCTGCAGCTGGGAGGGTGGACATGGCAGGGGACAGGTTTTGGGGAGCCTGTCAGGAAGGGGCTGCACCTTCTGCACGTAGGAGTAGAGCTCCTGGGAGTCCCCGACGTGCTGCTGCTCGGGCTTGCCCAGGCGGTGCCGGATGGTGTAGAGAACTTCCTCGTAGAGCAGGGCCAGCTGTGGGGACAGTGTGACACCTCCCGTGGGGACAGCCAGCAGGGATGCCCCAGGAGCAGCAGGATTTCCATGCAAACCCCAGCAGCAGCAGGATTTCCATGCAAAGCCCAGAAGCAGCAGGATTTCCATGCATCCCCAGGAGCAGCAGGATTTCCATGCATCTCCCAGCAGCAGGATTTCCATGCAAAGCCCAGGAGCAGCAGGATTTCCATAAAAATCCCAAGAGCAACAGGATTTCCATGCAAACCCCAGCAGCAGCAGGATTTCCATGCAAAGCCCAAGAGCAGCAGGATTTCCATGCATCCCCCAGCAGCAGCAGGATTTCCATGCAAAGCCCAGGAGCAGCAGGATTTCCATAAAAACCCCAGGAGCAGCAGGATTTCCATACATCCCCAGGAGCAGCAGGATTTCCATGCAAACCCCAGAAGCAGCAGGATTTCCATAAAAACCCCAGGAGCAGCAGGATTTCCATGCATCCCCAGCAGCAGCAGGATTTCCATCCAAGCTCCATGCCAGGCCCTGCCACCCCCTGCCTCCAGCCCTCCACCTGCTGTCCCTGGGGAGCTGGGCCATGTCCCCAAGCCCCTGCAGCACTGCCACCCCCTCCAGGGCCACCAAGGGCCACCAGGGTGGGGCCAAACTCGTACCTCCTCCTTGGAGAAGCGGTGGGACAGATCCATCTGGGGAGAGAAGAGGAGCAGAGAGGTTTCCCATCAAGGGCATGGTTTGGGGAGGAAGCCGTGGCCGGACAGGGCAGGGCAGCCAGGGTGGGGTGGCATCACCCACAGCACATGAGGCTGGCACGTCCCAAAGGATGCTGTGACACCCCATGGCTGAGGGACAATGTCCCCCATCACCCACCAGCAGGGCAGCACGGGGGGCTTCACCCCCAAGTCCCATTAATTGAGGAGGGGGCTGTGAGGGTGCCAACAGCAGCTTGGGGTGACCCCCAAGCAGGCACCTGTCACCCCAGAGCCACTCACCCCAGCAGCACCAGGCTGGAGGGCAGAGCAGCTGAGGGACAGAGCATGGTGAGGAGCTCCAGGCTGGGCAAGGAGATGCCAAAAGGCACCAGGATTTGGGGCACTGCTGCAAATCTCTGACAGCTGCAAGGGAGCACTGCTCATCCCCCACGTGAAGGATGCCCAGGACAGCTCTGACTGTCCAAACAGGAATTAAATCTGAGTGGTGACAGTGCCAGAGGAAGGGAACTGGAGTCCCTGTGCCATCTGTTACTGGTCCTGGCACTGGAGCCTCTGGGAGTACAAGGGGGTGACACCAAAAAATGCAACAGAAGCCTTTAAAATGAGTTTGGGCTTTTCTGGGCTGAGGGGGGTTTGCAGAGCATGGTCCCAGCAGGGCTCGTGCAGGGCTGGAGGGGATGGATGGAGGGGATGGAGGGGATGGATGGATGGATGGATGGATGGATGGATGGATGGATGGATGGACAAATCCTACCTGTGGGTCAGCCCAGGCCCCACAGTGACCTTAGAAACCCCTAACAAAAAAAAACAAACCAACCCTGAGCTTGAACATTAACATTTGCTTATGGCAAATCTAGGGCTGGCATAATCCCCCGGCCATCTGGACTGAATTCAACCCTTCCAGCCCTGGCGAGTTTAACCCTTGAGCTGCTTCTCTCCCACCTGCCTCCACATCCCCCCTTGTACCCTCTGCTGGGGCTCTGGTGCCTCAGCAGCCCCCTGTGAAAGGGTCCTGTTGCACTCAGGAGGTGCCAGCCTGGTTCCATGCACCTTCTGCTGCTGCTGGCACTGTCCTGCCTGTGCCAGGGCACGGGGGCACGGCCCCATCCCAAACCTTTCAGCATCCCCTCAGTCAGTGCTGCCCCATTGCAAGCTCACAAGCACAGAGGGGACAGAAAAAGCACTTTATTTCTCTGCTGCTGTTATTTATTATCAGCAAGACTCAAGCATCTGTTCCTCACCCAGCAGTGGGGTAGCCCAGGAGGGCAGAGGAGGAATCCCTGCTGGTTTGGGGCAGCTCCTGCTGTTCCATTCTGCCTGGACACAGTGGCAGCTGGATCCCTGTGCTCCCATGTGCACACGGGACTGGCTAAGCTAAAGCTGAGCTGAGCCACCAGGACGTATTCACTGCTGCTAATCCTCGTGCCAAGAGTCCAGCTCAAATCCAGGGGTGTTGCTTAAACCCAGGTCTGGATGCAGCCCCCAGCATGAGCCCAGCCCAGCAGCTGCAGCAGAGGGGAGGCAGCAGGGACAGGGGTGCTCAGGAGGGGGGACAACCCCTGGGAGGGGACAGCCCCAGGACAGACAGACAGACAGACAGCCCCAGGACAGACAGACAGCCCTAGGACAGACAGACAGACAGCCCTAGGACAGACAGCCCCAGGACAGACAGACAGCCCCAGGACAGACCATCCCAGGACAGACAGACAGACAGCCCCAGGACAGACAGCCGGGACAGACCATCCCAGGACAGACAGACAGCCCCAGGACAGATAGACAGCCCCAGGACAGACAGACAGCCCCAGGAGCCCAGTGGGGCATTGTGCCCTCGTGCTCCCAGCAGCACCGCAGAGCTCTGGCTCCCATCTCACCAGGACAGACACACAGACACGGCGCCCAGAGGGAGTTGGTCACTTTGGGATGGCCTGGAGCAGGGTGTGGGGGCAGCTGTGGCAGCACAGAGCCCAGAGGGGCTCACAGGGACCCTCAGTGGGGGCTCAGAGCTGCAGCTGACCCCGTACTCCCCCTGGGGTGACCATTTACCCGGGTAGGTACCCTCACACCCAGGCCTTGTTCCTTTTCCCCCTCTTTTCCCCCATTCCCCTTTTACAGCCTCAGCACCCAGCATTGTCCCCAAGGCCCCTGGGTACAGCCACCCTGACCTGCCTGCTGCCATCATCCCCAAACACCTCCCCGTGACCCCCTGAGCTCCAATTCACCCCAAACACCTCCCCATCACCCCTGAGCTCCAATCCACTTCAAACACCTCCCCATCACCCCCTGAGCTCCAATCCACCCCAAACACCTCCCCATCACCCCTGAGCTCCTACCTCGGGGCTCTCCTCCCCGGGGAGGGTCCCCGGGGGGCTCTGGCCTGCAGGATCCATCTGGGGCAGGCTGAGCGTGGGGCAGGGCTGCAGCTGTGCCTGCAGCTCGCTGCTCACGGGAGGAAACCACAGCCCTTATCAGAGCGTGGCCATTTTAGCTGAGCGGAAACGAGCGCGGGGCTCCTCGCTGAGCTCCCCGCGACTCAGGCGCCCCCCCTGGCCCTGATCCTCAGCACCTCCTGGCCTTGCTCCCCAGCACCCAACCCTGCTCCCCATCATCTCCTGGCTCTGCTCCCCAGCCCTGCTCCTCAGCACCCCAACACTGCTCCCAGCACCCCAACACTGCTCCCAGCACCCCAACACTGCTCCCAGCACCCCAGCACCCAACCCTGCTCCCAGCACCCCAACACTGCTCCCAGCACCCCAGCACCCAACCCTGCTCCACAGCATCTCCTGGCTCTGCTCCCCAGCCCTGCTCCTCAGCACCCCAACACTGCTCCCAGCACCCCAACACTGCTCCCAGCACCCCAGCACCCAACCCTGCTCCCCAGCACCCCAACCCTGCTCCCAGCACCCCAACCCTGCTTCCAGCACCTTCTGGCCTTGCTCCCCAGCACCCCAACACTGCTCCCCAGAACCTTCTGGCCTTGCTCCCCATCATCTCCAGACCCTGCTCCCCAACCCTGCTCCCCAGCACCCCAACCCTGCTCCCCAGAACCTTCTGGCCTTGCTCCCCAGCACCCCAACACTGCTCCCCAGAACCTTCTGGCCTTGCTCCCCATCATTTCTCGACCCTGCTCCCCAACCCTGCTCCCCATCATCTCCTGGCTGTGCTCCCCAGCCCTGCTCCTCAGCACCCCAACCCTGCTCCCCTGCTCCGCTTCCCAGCACCCCAACCCTGCTCCCCATCATCTCCCAACCCTGCTCCCCAGCACCCCAATCCTGCTCCCCATCATCTCCCGGCTCTGCTCCCCAGCTCTGCTCCTCAGCATCCCCAGCCCTGCTCCCCAGTGAGAGGAACAGCAGATTTGTCTTTACAAACCAGCTGTGGGTCTGCTGGTAGATGACACCAGCTCTGGAAGGTGAAAGGAACAATGGGAAGGATTCCACTGATTGATGAATGGAAAATGGTGTTTGCTTTTACAACACCATTGCTGATAAATGATATTGGACACTGAGAGGGGAAAGAAAGAATGGGGAAGAAAAATCCCTAAATTCTGTAAGAATTAAAATTTAAAAGGGAGGGTTATACATTAGAGGGAAATCTTTGGGATCAAGAATTTCAGGAAGTCTGAACCTCTCAAGTACCTCAGCCAATGGGGAAAGGGAGAAAGGAAACTGGGATAAAAAGGAGGCTGTGTCCTCCAAAAATTTGAGAGACCCCAGAGGAATGCCCCATGGCCTCTCCCTTTATTCAAATAAAGTAAAAGGACTCCTCTGTCTCCTTTTTGGACATAAACCTCTGGTGTTTGTGGATTAATTTTCCTAACACCAGCACCCCCAGCCCTGCTCCCCAGCACCGTGGGGACTGTGGGGCACACACAGCATGGGGACAAAAGGAAGGTCCCTGCTACCACTTATGAGCAAGGAACTGGGAGCAAGTGTGTTGCCCCACCTTTCTCCTCACAGAGAAAAGCAACGCACAATTCTTCCCAAGAATATTTCTGGGTTTCACATTCCCTGAACATCAGAGAAAGAAAACACAATTCTCATCATTTGCTGTGCTGTGTTTGTGCCAAAGCAGGATGCAACATGGGGATTGTTTCCCCACAGTGATGGTGTTCTGTTTCCTTGGCCTGTCAGGGCCAGGTGTGTTTGTGTCAGGACTGTTGGGTGACAGTCACAAGATTCTGTGCAGGGTTGAGTGCTTGACAGGTTCAGTTTTGGATGTATAGAATAATATAGTATAATAAGGTAATTAATTAGCCTTCTGATAAGATGGAGTCCTCCTCATCATTCCTCCTTCGTGGGGGCCCTCACAGCATTGCAATACAAATGGAGAGAAATAGCCCTGAGAAAAAAGCCCAGAGGGGAAGGGGGAGATGGAGGCGATTAGTGAAGGCAGCACAAGGGTCTGGGCTCTGATTTTGGGATCGTTCATGCCAAAATGAACGAGGGCTGAGAGCAGAGGCAGGGACCTGGCAGGAAGCCCCGAGTGTCTTCAGCCCCGGGGGATGGGGGATTTGAAACCCCATGCAAAAGCTGCAGGATGAGAAGCCCTTGCAACACCCAGGAGAGTTGCACAAGGTTGGGCTGAGAACAGACGCAGTAGAGAGCCAAGAACAGCACTCAGAAAGGGCCTGTGACCTTTTCCCAAACGGGCTGTCCAGAAAGAGCTGCTTGCTGAGAAAAAAGCAGAAAGAAATGAAATCTTGGAAATCTTGTTCCTTATCTCAGCTTTCATTCTTGTAAACAATTTATCAGACTGCAGCCTGCCAGGCAGTTGCCCTCCCCTGGCAGATCCCTATCAGGACGCTCTCACTGATAACAAACTGGGTGGGGGAAGGCTTGGCTGGGCACCAGGAGATGGCCAGGGGCAGGGCCATTGTGCTCCTGGGTGTGTTGTGTCTACAGGAACAGCTCCTGGGCTTTGGAGGAGCTGTTGAGCTGCACAAGCATTTGCTGCTCACGGGCAGACCCAGAGCCTGGGGAAGGACAAGGACATCAGGCCCTGCTCAGTGCCACTGCTGGGTTTGGTGTCACTGCTGGGGTTTGGTGTCACTGTTGGGTTTTGTGTCACTGCTGGGGATTGGTGTCACTGCTGGGTTTGGTGGCACTGCTGGGATTGGTGGCACTGCTGGGGCTGCTGAGGAGCCACAGGCCCTGTGCAGCAGGGCAGGGACTCCCCAAGGCGGGGGGGTTTGTGTTCCCCACACCCTTCTGGCCCAAAAGCCATAAAAATAAAAGATGTTTCAGATGTAAGACAGATGGCAGTGGCTCCACGCTGGGATCAGTGGCACTGTGCAGGCACTCAGGGATTTGTGCTGAACCCAAACAGGAAACCACGGCCATGGAAACTGCACTGGAAAGTTTGTGTCCTCAACAGCACAGGACTCAGAGTGCACCAGCACAGAGCCCCACAGCACAGAGCTGGCTCAAGCAGGGCTGCAGGAGGATGCTGCAGCAGCAGCCCTGCCAGAGGATGAGGGCAGGCAGCCAGTCCCTTCAGCCTTGCACTCATCCTCTCCTTTCATTGAGGCAGGTTGCACTCTTTTAATGCTTTAAGAGAGACACAACCTCCCTTTGCCCTGGAGCCCTGTAAGAGCAGCTTAATGGCAAAAGGGATTCCCTGAAGTTGTGGGACCAGGAGATGGAGAAAGGGCTGAGAGCAGAGGCAGGGGGTTGATGTGGGGGGCAGATTTTCTTTATCCAGGTCAGCCAGCACAGGACTGGGGCCAAGAGGGGCTGCACAGCATAAAAACACAGAATTTCCAGAGTAGGGAGATGCCAAGGTAATTTACAGAATAAAAATCCAGAGCTATAGTGAGACACCCAAAAGCTGAAATGCGCTCCTGAGATTTTTCCGCCTTGTCCCCTGAGGTCTGAAAAAAGCTGCTTGTTCCACTTCTGCTCTCTCCCCTGTCAGGAGGGCTCTGGTAACTGTCTCCAGAAATTGGGTGTCCCAAGGAACTGGGCTTCAGAACCCCTTCTTGTGCATTCCCAGCTTGGCACTGGAGCCACCTCCTCACCTGCTGAGGATGCCCCTTCCCTCTGCTGTCAGAGATGCTCGGAGGTGCTCACCCAGCCCCAGCCTTGGCTTTATCCAGCCTTTTTCCATTGGCTCACCTTGGGCAAAGCTCCAAAGCATCTCCTCCCTCATTGATGGGGGGGATGTGGTGGAGAAGCTGATGCCTGTCCCATGACACACACAAATGCAGTTTATTGATCTGGGACATCAGCTCTCTGCTCCCTTGTAAAATGTTGTTAGTGGGAGCTAGAGAAAAGTGCATAGTGGCCTTTGGAAACCGTTGCTGTCATCTTTGCTTTTAGCTTTGATTGCAAAAGCAAAATCTGGCCCAGCAAACAGCAACCCCAGAGGTAAAGGCAGGACATGGACTCAGCATCCTTGAGCTGCTCACATCTTTCACTGTTCCTTGCCAACAAAAAATAACAGCAGCCAGGACGTCTCTTGCCTCAACCAGCACAGAAAGAACAGAGAGAACAGCTGAAAGAATTTAATCAATCCTCAAATCCACTTCTCTCCTCCTTGTAACACTGGAGAAGTAAAATCCAGCCATAACTATTGCAAAACATCAGGCAGTGACCCTCCAGCCAGGAGCTGGTGGCTGGGCTGGGGTTGTGCAGGCTTTAGAAAGCAAAAGTTCAGCTGCAGTGTGGAAGTGTCTGTTTGAAAGCCCTTTCCCACTGGAAATGCTCAGGCACAGCCCAGCAGGGTGGGAGCACAGAGCTCCCAGCAGAGCAGCAGGGTCTGGGCAGCACTCTGTGCAGGGGTCTCCTCTGTGGGTGCCAGGGCAGAGCTGTCTGGGGATCAGCTCTCCAAAGCAGCAAATGTCCTTTTCCCCCTGGGTTTTACCAGCAGCCACCTGTTCCACAAAATACCAGTGACAAAAACCCCTGAGCTCAATCCACAAAATACCAGTGACAAAAACCCCTGAGCTCCAGTATTTGCACCTCGAGTTCCTCCTTGTCCAGGAAACAATGAGAGAAGCCCTAAAAGCAGCTCCAGAACGAGTGAGGATTTCTGGTTAGTAGAGACAATCCTGATAAACTCCATTCCCCACGCTGGCAGGCAATTAGCAAAACATCCCAGACATCCAAGGCAGGACTTTCCAAAGGGAGAGGGTTGGCATTCCCCAAAACAGCCCCTGCTTCCCATGCTGTCAGTCTGCCTCCCTAAATGACCAACATAGATATGCACAATGGGAAGCCTTACATTCCTTTTAAAAACAAATCATTTTTAAAAACAAGTCGTGCTAAAGGCAAACCCTTTATACCTGTCCCCAATATAAATGAAGTCCACAGCTCACTTGTGAATGGGGCTATAGGTGCTGCTGAGAAAACAGATCTCCAAAGAACAACAACATCACCTTATTTACAGG